TAGTATGAAATCAGGTGTTCTAGTCCACTCTATATGTATCATACGTGTACAAATATGGGTTAGTATGCTTCAATGTAATTATGTAATTTGTTTAAGGAGAAAGATTTTTGTTACCACTTATTTCACAAATATTTCCTTCTTAAATGCAACTTATTCTCTAGTCATCCTTCCTCCTCACCCCATGTTTTGTCCAAATACACTCATCATCAGGTGTTTTTTATCTCACTAAAATTGCCTCACTGTATAGTATATACTATATAGTATATGATATGACATTTTATGAGTATATATTGTATTTAACAGGTTCCATATAATTATTAATTTGTCTGATATAATCGAACAATATATGAAATGTGGAGTGTTACTGTGAATTCAATATATGTCATAGAACAAAATTGTTGCAGTTTTGTAATCACTCTAAATATAATTGCAAAACTGGAAACATTAATATTTATGTATATATATTATTCACGTACCATTGGTTCAATATGTTCCACATCTCAGAAATGGATAATGGTAGCAGACAATTATAAACATAAGGGTTTTTTCACAGGAAGAAAAACTCAGACTAAGTGCTAATTTTATTGTTACAAGTAAATTCATAGATTCCATTCCAATTTGTTTTTCTCACTTCTTTCTCCTATAAAACAGTGGAACTAATGATATTAAATATGTTGTCATAGTAACCATGGTAAAAAAATATGTTCTGTAGGTTACGTACTCTGTGTGTGAATTTAAGGACCTAAACGTTAATTGTAAGTAATCATCATAAAAATAAGAATTTTTCTTCAAATTTCAGTGCTGATTTTTCTTCATGGTCGTACTATGTAAAATATTTTTTTAATTAAAATAATATTCTTTCAGCAACACTGGCAAAGTTATGCACAACACATATGGTATCTGGAAAGTATATTGTTCACCACAACTGTCAGCAGAACATCTTAATCGACTTTGTCAAGCAGTAGGTTTTGAGTTTGCTGACAGGACAGATAAACAGACTGATGGAAATACAGAAGTGACAGAGCTTGATTCATTCTCATCTGTCCAACTGAATTCAAATACTTCAGTTATATTACGAGGAAGCAGGCCATTTGTGCAGATCACCAAACACCAGCACCCTTGTATTCAGCTGCAGCTTCATTGTTCCTAATACTCTATACGTTAAACAAGAATGTGCTGTTCTCAATATCAACAAATTTGTAAAATACTGCCTAAGAAGTTTTCAGAAGAGGTAAATTTCTTTGAGATTTTTGTAGATTATATAATAAATTAGGATTACTAATTATAAATCTGGAATATGAGAAGAATACAGGAATTAGGAATGCACTGTTGTTTCATGATACAACCACTACTTTAGTGAGTTCATGAAAAGTTGTCGTTTCAAAGAGTTGAAGTTTTATACTCCACAAGTGCCATTATTCTTAACAGATTGTAAGATCTTAAATGCCACATGTACCTGTTAAGGAGCACCTAGACTGTTGTACTTGTAAATTTTTTGTTGTCTGCTTAATTTTATTAATTATGCCAGAACTTTGTTTCATAAAAGTGACTGTAATCTGTGCAACATGACTGATGAAGTAAGCATGCTATGATGAATATATATAGCTTTATTAGTCAAATGGTATTAGCAGAATGCATTCATGATCCCTCATTAATGATCTCCACATGCCTTGTAGAATTAGGTGATTAGTGAATTGTCTCTTTTGCATGAATAATCATTAATATGTACATTCCTAAGTACATTCAACAATTTATATAAAGCACTTTATGATGAAAGTTAAGAAACTTCCTGCAAAAATCTGCAGAATGTTACACTGTTCTTTAAATCAGTATTCAAAACTTGCTGAAAGCAAGATATTTCTCTATCATATCTCTGTGAGATTGACCTTGAAATTAGTGCAAACAAGTAAAATCTTTAATAAGATTTAATCACATCTGTGGCTCTTAGTTTGCTACAATGTTCTCTTTAAGATGCCAGTTGATGGGAGAAATAACTTCCCAAGTTCTTGGGTCTAATGCTTGAGCAGTCATTTGAAAATGTGATTTTTATTTTACTTTAGGTCACTGAAATATTGTTGAAGTGGACCAGTACACATGGAAATATGACGTAGAATTTATTGTTTCTATATAATTTGGAAATTTTGTACTGTCCATTTCTTACAGCTGTGAAGCTTACTCTTTTGCCTCTTAATGTATAATATTGGAATAAATGACTTCATGTATACGATCATAAAAATAGATAAATAATTTTTTACTTTTGAGTTTTATGCAGTAACAGAAATCTACTAATTTTACTCGTACAATGATCAGTAATGTAATTCCTCAGATTGAAATTTATTTTGACATACACATGGCACTCGTGCCTTTATAGGCTATTTTAGGATAATGTCCTGAATTATAACTTAGTTTACATTCTCATAGACACTGTTCCTCTGATCTATTTTAATAACATCCTCTCACTGGTGTCTGTTTCTCCCATTTGATATCTTACTATGATATTTGTCAGTGAATATTTTGTGTATGTCTTGTTACCTACAGTCCAATCCAATCCAATCCAATCCAATCCAGTCCAGTCCAATCCAGTTTCCTTCTCTCTTACAATGTAAAGAGCGCAAGCCGTGTGAAGACCATGAACATATTCAGAATTTAGTGAGGAAACCTCTTTGAAAATGACCACAGTTTGAGGAATCTTAAGGAAAGTTGTTCACAATTTGGACAGGATCATGTTCAATGGTAAGTTCTTGTATTAACAAAAATATTCAGGTTCTAACACCAGAGAGATAGTTTTGAGTATAAGCTGTCTCTTAAAATAAAATAAAATAAAACTTTTACATTATATTCCACATTTTTTTTTTCAGGTGTAAGAGAGGAACAGGAAAGATCCACAAATTTACATTCAACCATACTGGAATAAAATACATCTATGAACTACATATAAATGAGTTTTGTGTTAGATTTCTTATTGTCGCGTTGCAATTTCGGGTTACCACAGAAATGAATTGTCAATAGTATTATGCATGAACGTAAATTATATAGTATGTCACGAACGAGCGAGCAGTCTTTTGTTTCAATGTGTTTTGTCAATTGTGTGAGTATTGATAATATTGTGATGTGGCTATGTGCAGTAAAACATATTAGACTGCTTACAATTGACTGTGTGCATGTTATTCATGGGAGGTGACTTCAAACTTGGCCTCAGTGCATCATTCGATAACATGTGTAACTCAAAAGGAATATGGAAAAGCAGGAGAATTTATTAGCACAAAAGCTTGTATAGAAAATGATGAGACTTTCCATTATCAACGGATATTACAGTAATTTTAAGTAAATATTAATATATGTACATGTATCCCGATAATTTCAGATGGGAAGGAGCCTTGTCTGTTTGTTGTTATAGAAATAAAAAACTTCAGTAATTTTCGTGTGTGTTCGGAAGCCTGTTGTTGATTTTTGAGTGTACTCATACAAGTTCAAAATTTTACGCCTAGTGCAACAATTCGGAGGTGTTTGCTAAAGTATATTTTAATTATCTCGAAAATCGCAAGTATTACTGATGAAGGTAATTGATCATAGAACGAGTTTTCTTTCTTCTCTACAGCTTTGTTGGAAACATATTTTGCCTGTATTTTATATAAAAAAAATAGAATGTGTCGATTTTTTTGCAGATCCTCAACCAGTTTCATGAAAGTACTTTAAGCCATTCTCTAGTTGTTTCATACTTGCGGACGGACGGAGCGAGTTTAATAGGCGTTCCGCAGGGATATGAATGCGACCAAAGAGGGAGTGTGGGTTGATATATATATAATTTTTTTTTTTTAAGTGGGGTGGGACTAAGTCCCTTGTAAGCGGCCTCCTTAGTCTAGAGGCAACGTTCCCACCTCATGACTCGTAGTACGCGGGTTCAAATACCCGGCGGAGGTCGTCGAATTTTTAGGGCGGAAAAATTCAGGGAACAAGTCCTCCGGGAGGGACTTTAAGCCGTGGGTCCCGTGTCGTAGCTTTACGGCACGTAAAAGAACATATCTCCAAATGAGGTCGCTGAGCCAAGTTACGGACGTTTCCCGCCCAACAGCAGTCTCTAATACCTCTGGTAGATGAGGGAAGCATTATAGATACCTCTCAGCTAAGTAGAGCCGGTCTCGCTGGCTGGGCGGGACTGATGGTAAGCACCAGTACCGGCAGGATATAGAGACTGGTAGAAATCATAGAGGGAAGCACAATGGACCAATACAGGTCTTAAGTGCATGGGGAAACCCACCCTCTCAAATAACTAACTAAGTCCCTTGTACTGCGGCCACTTCTGGCCTATTGTACCAGCCCCAGATGATAGGTGAGGTTGATTGTAGAGCAATTGGTGGAATGAAGATTGGCAGTGGGAACCGAAGTACTCGGAGAAAATGTGCCCCAGCGCCACTTTGTCCACCACAAATCCCACTTGACTAGACCCCGGGCCGCCGCGGTGGGAAGCCAGTGACTAACCGCTTTAACTGTGGCACGGCGTAAGTGAGGGTTGATAATAAGGAATAATTTCGATAACTTTCCCCGCTTCGTCCTTAATTTTTGCTCGTGTTGGGCAAGCAAATGAATGAGTTTGTTGAACCTACACGCACACGTGTTTTTGTTTGGAAAGTATACCTAATAAAACATCATTAGAGTAAATACAATCAAGCGTCTCTCTCTAGTTTATGAGAGATACACCCGGACTGACTCAGTATATTACTTTCAGTAACGCCACGCCATACATTCTCCACATAATGTGAAATCGATAATGCTTGGTTACTTCACTATCACGGAACCATTTCAAACCTAACTCTTTGCTATTTATCGTATATTGAAGCTTGTTAAGTAAACCCAAATATTTTACCGGTCAAATAAGACACTTGTGTTCGCTGCGGCTCTCGATCGAGGCGAAAAGAACTTTCTTGGTTATCTCTATTAATTTATTTTGAAATACATGATATGTCTCAGATCTTTATTAAGTACCTCCATCAAACATAAATTAATATTGTATGCATTTTATATTGTGTAGACATACATGTACGAGTAAAACAACGTTATAATGTAACTATTTGGTTGTGGAATGTTGTGTTTGTATAACACCTAAACACGAAGTAAGTAGTAAAGACAAGACAAATGACTATTTGCATCATAAGACTCTTTATATATAATAGTCATTTGTATAAGTAGGCTTAATTAATACTGTTTTTTTTTTTCATTCTATTACACATTCTTTTTCCACGAACACGAACGTCATGAGAGTCCCAAGGGACTCAGACCCGAGAAAGACTGCACTGGCAAGAACCAGCAACATATACAAAAGGCAGACCCGTCCTTTCATCAGAGAGGGTGCCCCACAGAAACAAGACCGTAAATGCCAAACACTAATAAATATCCGGTCATGAGCCCCAGATGGAGCTCGGCGCCAAGACTTACTGACTGACCGTCAGTCGCAATGTGACTTGGACTTGGAACGTCATATACGGTCATATACTCTGCAAACTGCAACGAGGACTCACTGCAGCGAATTCGTGATGTGAGCCCTCGAACGTATAGATTAATGGAGGGAGAACTCAGGCAATCTATTTCTCCAGAAGACTTGCAGTCTCTGATGAAGTCAGTCACTTGTCCTAGCCCGTCAGCACTCAACAAACTGTTGTCCGGACTTGATGCCGCGCATTCTTATATAGAAATTTGTTGAGTACTCTGCTTGTTTGCACATTTTTTTTCGATCCTGAATATTGGGGCAGTACGAGTACGTTCCTCCGAAAAAGTAGTTAAACTTTCACTAGCCTGCATTGCGTGATATCCCAGAAGAGAGTCACGCTTTCATTTTACACAGTACAAAGTAAAAAAGTAAAGGTATCTCTGTAACAGGCCGTGGAGGCCCATAGGGTTGTAAGATGTTGAGGTTCCCACATTTTCTAGACAATCGGCTCATAGATTGAGGCAAGGTTGTCAGCCTACGCGCCGGCCACCTTTACCCCAAGAATATTCTCAGAATATTCCTGGAACTCATTTCTGTTTGAGGCTGAGTCGACCCCAGGGCCATAGTGCGGCTGGAAGGATTAAGTCAATTGAAAAATCCAGTGACCTCATCGGGATTCGATCCCGCGACCTTCCGGTTTGTAGTATAGTGGCTCAACCAACTACGCTACCGCTTGCCCCCTCATTTTACACAGTATTTTACGAATAATATCCGTTTTGAGAGAAAGGGGAACCGCCACAAATACTTGTCCATAATTAGACAATTACTGTCTGTTGGTATCTGACACGATCTACGTGTATAGTTCGGTAGATGGATGTCGTTTCGGAGGAACCTGCTACCTACAGTTTTGGTTCTACCATGAAGGTAGAGATAACATGTTTCTCCACAATGTTGGTATCCATCTACCGAGCTACGAGAATAATGCGTCACATTCCAGAGGACAAGTACTGCCAGCCATGGCAGTCTCAAATCTTCCCAGTTGGAACAGTTTACAGAAATTGGTAACAGTAGACTCCAGACTGTTGGGTGCTTATGGAAAATAAATTTCCTCAGGCAATCTGAATACCCAGATAATCAGTAAATGAATACCTTGTGAATTGGGATTTATAAAACGTCACGTGTACAATTATCAGAGTATGTTACTTGATTGCTATTAGTCGATTTAATAACAGCTCCTGTGCTGTTTCTACGTATCACAAAGAAAAACCAAACAAAGAAATCCTCCTCGAATTTCCAAGCACATATTCAACGGCGAAATAAACTTTACCTCGTTTTGTAGTTCTTCCTTTCTAAAAAGCGATTTTCCATTAAGTTTGTCTTTTCAAATTGGTCACACCAGTCAATTTCTAAACAAAGACCCCTTGTAATCCATCCCCTGTTAGTCAGCAGTCTGCCGTATTTTTCTGGAAAGAAAAAAATAGAGAATTTCATCTCAGAGAGTCTGTTTTCTTAAAGTTAGCCCTAATACAATATTGTAATGATACAATCAGTCGTTAGCATGTGACGTTCTCCGTACAATTCATATGCTAATATATTCGTATTCCCTTAAGGATTTCGCGAACCACAGGCTGAAAACTATTACGTAGCCACGTTGTTCGAGAGGTCGACTACATACAGAATATCGATTTCTACATAGCCTTGCGTACACTCCGCTAGGGTATGCATATATCGCGGATGCTTGTCAAATGCAGCAGCTGTGTCAGATAGGAGTGGTGGTGTGAAATTTTATTGGGTGTTATGATTAAAGATACTGTAAAGATCGGTATTTAATTAACGCATATATGTCATATAATAGCCATATTTCGGGGTGTTTGTTTGTGACGTTTATAATGTTTAGGCTCGTTGACAAGCTTATGCCTAAAGACTGGTCCTTCGTGTGATGCAGTATCACAGAATCTGTCGGCATTGTGTAATGTGTACTTAATAGAGTTGGGT